AAATTCTTTTATTGGAGCCACATAGTGATTTTCACAATTATATACGAGTCTCTTGTAAGAAATTTAACGAGGTTCTAATCTGTATATTAAAAAAAGTGGTTAGTATATTACATCAAATTTGTGGATTTTAGTATATTTATATCTGTACATTTTTATTTTCACATTACTACCAAATCTTGCGAAATGAGCATCCGCCTACCAAGCAATGCAAGCGTACTTCACCAAACTGAAAAAATATAATATTCATTTCTAGTTGTTTTCTTAAGACTCTCACATCAAGCCCACCACTATAATCCTAGTCCTTGTTGGATGTAAAATAAATTATTATCAACTAAACCAACTTTTATTTTCTTTTTATTTTATGCAATACGTATGCATTGATTTTACCAGACAAGATGTCAAATGTATTAATGAAATATATAATTTATAATAAAATTATATTATTTATAAATTATGAATAATACGATTTATTTTTTGAAACTTTAAGCAATATGTCCTATTTATAAGTCAATCTGTTTCACTGGAATTAAGCAAAATATATCTCGTTAACACTGTCTTAAGATTTAAAGACTTTACAACTTTACTTCTATTTAATATATATTCTATCTCAAGAGTTTAAAGTATACACAATAATAAATAAATGGTAAACTTGTATGTTCAAATAAGAAGTTTAAGATGTAACTCGTATAAGACCAAAAAAAATAATCTCTATCTGCTTTGTAAATATGTTGGTGATTTCTAAATAGCTCTATAAGTGTTCTTTAAGTCTGAAAGTATGTTCTGATCCTGATGAGCTCCATCATCCAACTCATCTACAGTTTTTGTTATAAAAAATAAAACAGGATGAAGTGTATATGGAGGCCGACCTAAGTTCGTTCTTTCTTTCTTTCTTTCTTTCTTTTTTGAAAAAAAGGGTATAAGTGGAGCATCTTCCCAACGATTTAGTATACTATTCATACAGTACTACTTTATATTTGTTGGGGACAATTATCTTTATCTGTTACTTTCTAAGTAAAATGGTCCACTGGACTTTCTTTTCCTTTGAGAATGACTACACAAAGTTCTTAGGATAATCAAAGGGGATATCCATATATATTATTTTGGAAGTAACCGCCTTTTTTTCTTTTCAAATAAAGACTTTATTTAAGTTTTAAAGTTTCATCTTTTGTTACTTCACCAAAACGTTTGATTTGATCCAGAATAAATGATATTTGAATGTCGGCATTATAAAGGATAAAATAAATTTGCAAGTAATAGATTTTGGGGGAGAATTACCATATCAAGGCCAAAAAATATTGGGACAATTACTATATGAATGTTTTAATAATGAAATGTAATTACTAAGGAGTCCTATAATAACTGAACAGCATGCCATCACAAGGTTTAACATAAAAAATGATAATATGTTTGTGTTACTCATTTGTCATGGGATGTTTTAGTTATTACATTCATTTCTTAGGATTGTCTGATAATTCTTTCACTAAAAAAAAATTGACTTTCAGCGGCGATTTTTTAGTAGTGACTATAACTGAAACTTATTAGTGGCAACAAAACACTACTACAAAAAAGACGTTTTACAGCAGTTAAAATAACCTTTCACAGTTGTTTTGAGAGCGATGTATACACCACCGATATGAAGTGTAGAGGATTTCACGACTGCTGTGATATGGGATTTTTCACGACAGTTATATAAATAACTGCCTTGAAAAGATTTTTTTTTAGTTTATCTTTCATCCTATTGATCAGGATGGAACGGGAGAACAAAGTCCTAAGGCAAAGAGGTTTGAGAATCAATCAACTAATAACCTATCACTAGTCAAAAGCATTCTGATAGAGCAAAAGTATATCCTTTCCCTGCCATCATAGTGCTACTTAGCTTCACCTTCAACCACTAGACCGAAGCCACTAAGATTTAATGAAGGTAAAATTAAAGACCTAGATCTGAGAAAATTCATGAATTTTAGGTTGTCAAACTTCGATTTACAAAATGAGAGAGACAAAAATCGGATCTATTCAGGCATTCAAGTATCAAAGTATGTTTAAATAATGAGAGGAGAAAAAATTAGATCTATTTAAACTTAGAACAAACATCATATTTTTAATATAAAAAAAAACAAACTACAAAAACTATGAAATCCTCGGAAAGAATGGAGGAGAAAGGGCATAAAACTCAAAAATAACAATAAAAAGGATGACGCGACGGTGACGGCGATAGAGATGGAGATAGAAGAACATGGTGAAGATGATAGAAGTAAGGGACAAATGCCGGCAAAAGTAGGAGGAGGCAGAAAATTGAGTGGAGATAGCAATAGAGGACCATGAGCTTTGACTGTGAAAAGTAAAAACTATCACACGATAGATAGGGTTTTAAACTTTTAATAAACTTTTTAAGGCGGTTTTCTAAAAAACCGCTGTAAAAAAAAACTTTTACAGTGGTTTTTAAAAAACCATCATAAAAGAACTTTTCATAGTGGTTTTTTGGATAGTGAAAAGTAAAATTCACTTCCATATAATTACAAAAATGCCATTGCCATTTTGTTTACAGTGTTCTCCTTGATGACCATCGTGAAAGCTTTTTTTTACAGTGTACATGAAAGTCATTGCTAAAGACCTTTTTAGCAGTGACAAAAGCCTGCCAGGTGTCACCACGTCACCCGCCACCTCATCTATGCCACGAGTCCACACGTCAACGCACCATGTCACCAACTAGATATTATCACTATAAATATGACTTTTCTATGGTTCGAACTCCTGACCTCCTCATTATACATCCCTTCTTCTTGCCACTAAACTGAAATAAATTTGATGATAATTGTTATAAATCAAATATATATAATAGTAATAAAATATTAAAATAGACTTTCAGTGACAACAAAACAGTCGTCGCTGAAACTACACTTTAGTGATGACCAAAAATGTTACTGCTGAAAATGACCTTTTTTGTCACCCCTAAAGGCTATTATATTAAATATTGTTAAATAATAATATTAAATATTTATATTTAATTTTATTATTTGATTAAAATATTTATTTATAATATCCATTTTGTATAAAAAAATATAATTCATACAACATAATTTGTTATATTTTTTATTTCTAATTATTTAAGCTATTATTTATATTTATAATTGTGAAATATGAAAATAGCATATAAAAATAATACCTCTCCAATCCTTAATATAGGACCTAGTTATTGAGTTGATTTTGGTACTAAATATAAGACTTATTCATCAGATTTATTAATAATGACACCTTAAATTATCAACACATACTCATTAATTAATATTTCATTACAACATTTAAATAGTTTGATACAAAATATATCATTTATAGTAACAAGTGACATAAAATACAAATGTGTCTATTTTTTCAAAATAAATGAATTACTTTCTTTTGCAACAAATGATGTTATCATTGTTTTCAACCCTTCATAACTTGTACCTTCCTTTATGCTTCTTATTCTTACACTACTCTCAACATATTGCATATCATCTTTTTCATCATCATTTAGAAACTTCTTATATGAAAGAAACAAAATACGTGCTTTCCGAACATACTTACCATTTGTAATGTAAACATACCATATAGTTATCATTAACAAGTCAAGCAACTAAATTGACAATTATTGCGGGCTGTGTTGAGGCCACATTTTTCCATTCCATAGCATAGACATTCTACCTATAACAACCTTCATCATTTTCATTCATTGCCACTTAATCATAGGCAAACACGTCAAGCCACCAACAATATACCTAAAAATAGAGTACCTTTTATTACTCTACCCACCCATAATGAAACCTAACTTAAACTATCAACATAGCATAATGAAGAGGGAGATGAATGTTACAAATCAAAAAATCTGTTGAGACGATAAAGAGGGAAAGTGTTTTGACTTCAAGAAGGTGATGAGGAAGATGATCGATGAAATCCATTTCTTTAATCTGAAATTCTTTTGTTTCTTATGGATCATTTGGAGGAAGATGCACAAAAATGACCCTATCTTTCGCTTTCTGTTTCTCAATCATTAAAGATAGAAAAGTAATTATAGCTTTGCATTCTTTTGCAATGAAGTCCCCTTGGAACTTATTGTCTATTTAATTTGTAATTTATGTGGGACCTTTCTGCAGTATTTACTCTTGTTTGGGACCTTAGTGCCATTTTTCCATGATTAATTTGCTCAGTTTTTGTTTATATGGAATGGTTGGCGCAATCCAGAACTTCCCACACATTACAAGAGGACGATATGTCGTTCTCTCTCTCTCTCTCTCTCTCTCTCTCTCTCTCTCTGTTCTTTTTTCTTTAGTATTCTTACATTGGCGTAAATGGTAAATAACTTTAGTTGGTAACATATTTTAAATACATAGTTATATCAAAGCCACAGTTGAAACTTGGAAGAGACAATTTGCAAAGAGGGCCCTCCATGTGGACGTTTGCGTTCTGAAGACCTATCAGTCAGGCTCCACATGGTACTAAGAAGGAGAAAACCAATATTAAGAGAGGGACAAAAAAGTCAATGTGATAAAATTGGAATCAAATCAATCATTTTTTGCCGACATCAAAATAAATCAATTTGCATCAAATATTTACTCTTTTTCTTTTTAGCAAGAACATTTCTTCTTGTTTTCTGCTCTTATTCTAGAGTTGGATATTTCCTCTGATTTATCATGACATTATAGTGTGTGTGACATGAATACATGCAAAAAAAAATTGTTTATGCTGCAAAATATGCTGAATTTTCATCGAATTTAATATTTCTTGAAACCGCTGAAATTAGAGAAACCAGAAATCCAACATTTGGGAAAAGAAAGATATGAAAAGAATGCTATCTTTTATTGATAAATTCATGGCTCACTGACAATGAAGTACAACCAATCAAATTCAACCACTATAGTAAGAATGTGAATAAGTAAACCAAAAAAAATCCCTGATAGTGATAACCCTTCTGTTTTATTTTTAATTTGTGTGTATAATTTCTTGTATATTGTTCCTTTTTCCGAATCAGGTACATATATTTCCTTCTTAAGCTGTTGCGGCAGTGGGGTTCGCAGCTTTCATGGCATCAAACCTTGGCTCCTTAGCCTGAAACTTAAGTGCAGCATAGAGCTTCATGTAATCTTCAAACACAAATTTTGGATAAATCTGTTTCATTTCTTCTTCCTTTCCCTCAATCAATTGTGGAGCTGGATGAATAAAAGCATCACTTCCTGGATTGTAGAATGAAGCTACGGACATCCTCGTACCATTTGTTTGTGCAATCACACGATGTTCCACACTCTTGTACTTCCCATTTGTGATTACCTGTTCACGAAATCATCAAGACATGATTAAATTAAATTTAGAGAGATAAAACATAAGTTGGGTCCCACCTGCGTTATCTTAATCTCTCTATAGTTGCACAATCTGCTGAATTGTTTGTGATGATACATATCAAGTTGTAGTACATATAGGTTTGTTTTGAATGGAGGGGAAAACGGGAAGAAAATAAGGAGGGAATAGCACGAAGGACTGCTACCAAAAGTAGCAAGAAAATTTACTATTTTTGGAAGTTTTCCTTCCTAATATTCTTTTCTCTCTATTTTTCTAATTAATTAAGGAATAAAGTTTTATGGAGATATTTATGTTTAATACCTCAAGTTGGTCACCAAGATTCACCACGATCGAATGGCGCATTGGAGGCACATCAATCCATTGGCCGTCTTTGAGAAGTTGGAGTCCACAGACCTTGTCATCTTGGAAGAGAAGGATGATGCCACCCGCATCGGTATGGGCACGGAGACCTTTCACGAGTTTAGGGTTGGGGCAAGCAGGGTAGTTGGCAACCTTTGTTCCAAAATTTGGTCCTCTTGACCCATGGAATGCCTTCTTGAGGTAACCCTTCTCCAGTCCAAGATTCTCACAAAGCAAGTCTAATAGTTCCTCCGCAAGTTTTTGTATCTGTTTTGCAAATTCCTTCATCACCTTCCTGCATTTAATTTGAATTTATATAGTTCAGTATATGTACATATACATGTGTATATAATAATATAAAACACATGTTTGAGTTTGATTTTTCACATGTATTCTTCAGTAAGATTTGAGATTTCAGACAAATTTGAGTCAGGCAAGTGACGCAAGAAGAATGTGCTTTCCCAATCCATGTCCTTAACTTCAGCTCCAACACCTTCTAATGCTTTGCTTGCCACAAATTCTTTGAACCTTTGCTCCATGCATTTCCTATAATGCTCTTTTGTTAACCTCTCCACTGTGTCCAAAAGTTCATTGGCTATCCCGTGGTTCACCAACTACAAAAGAAAAGCAATCAAATTTTATTTAATAATTGCCACCAAAATTAACAAAATAATAATAATAATACTCCCTCCATCCCTTATTATAAGAAACAACTACTACAACACAGTTCAAAATATTAGTTAAAGTTAGTTAAAAACAATAAATGTGTAAGATATATACATAATTTTCTAATTATATCCTTCTTTGTAAAGAGAATATGTGAGAGATACTTTGAGTAGAAATTCATTGCAGAGATATAATAAGTAGCATATATTTAATGGAGCTACAAATAAAAAGACTAGTTTAAAATTTCAAACAAAGAGAATTTATTTCTTATATTTAGAAACACTATTATGAGAGAGATTGTTTCTTATAAAAAGGAAGGGACGGAGTAATAAATATGCAAAGATGTATATATACCTCAAAAAATTCCCAATTCTCACAAGCGTCATTAATTTTCTCCATAGTGGCCTGTCTCTCTTCACCATTAAGCTTCTCCAAGTTGATTACTGGGAAGTTCGCCATTAGAAAACAGTCAAAACTCTGTTACTTTCTTTAGTTTCTGAGCTATCTTTGTGAGTTTCTATGCTTATTTCCAAGTAAAGTGTGTGGTATTTATAGAAAGCAGTTCAAAGACGAGGAAGACAGCAGGAAGCTACACTAAAGAAAGACATTAATTATGACTTAAACGCTTACATAATCTGACCGTTGAAGAGATTAATTTGCGTCGTTGAATTTTCCACTGATAATTTGGTGTCTGCTTTAACATTACTGTGTTTTTAATGTGATGGGTTTTTTGTTTGTTTTGGATGATCTCACTGTCCCATTTCTTGGAAAGTGGCAAAAGTTAAAGCGGTCTAAATTTGTCTCAATTGATTCTATCGAGGTGTCTAGTCGAAGAAGAAATCATGGACACGCAAGCAAATTTGTAGGGGCATTTAATGATTAAGCTTTACCTTACGCGTGAGAAAAGTGAGTTGGTAAAAATAATTCAGGTTCAGATCAAATGTCAATATGAATATAAGAAAGAGTTGGTATTTCTTTGAAAGTAAAAAAATTTTAAAAGCGTGTTTTTTAAGATATAAAAATTGTTTACATATTCAAATAAAATAATATAACTTGTTATATTTGTAATATTAATATGGAATAAATAAAATTATTTTATTTTATATGTTTAGGTGCATAATTAATTGACATGTTAATTAATTCCCCACACTTATAATGATAACGGTAAATAAATTCCTTTTAAGAAAAAAATGAGACCTGATCAAAAGAATAAACAATAAAAAGTTATCAAAATATGAAAAAGCTATCTTATCCCACTAAGATATTGAAATTTTTTCTTCTCAAGTTTGTCTCAGTTATTAATTTGGTCGCTGAAGTTTATATTAATTAAGTCCCTAAAGTTTCCTAACGTACACGATTAGTTCTTATAGTTTTAAGACATATAATTGTCGACACACATTGGCTAATAAGTGTAATCTGAGAAATGCGGTAAGTGAATTTGTGATGAAAGTCAGTTGAAGAGCTAAATTCAAAATAAAATTTGTATTTGTATCTTTGATTAATGAATGAGATCTCTTGCAGTCTATAATTATAAGAGCCCTTTTAAATGATGCATGGCTAAATCTTGTCTTGTTGCTTGACTTAAAAAGAAGCTAAGAAAAAAATGATTGTTATTATTATTAATCATGTTATATATTCTCATTGCTGTATAATATTTTTACACAGGTATTAATTTTAAAAGTTTTGCTAAATCTAAGGCTATCCATAGCTTCTTGAATATTTGCATATATAATTATATATGACCAAGAATTTAAAAACTATACCAATCACTGAATTGAGCAAACAGTGTTTCAACGGTTAGTAATCATACCGTGATCATGATTAATTTTATATGTTAAATGTAGCATTAAAGGGAATTTTTTTTATGGGATTTAAAGGGAATATTTTATATAATGTTATATTGCAAAATTAAATTTATAGGACGTGTTTAAATTTTTAAACTTTTTTATTGTTAAATATCATTTATTAATATATGAAAATTAAAATCCGATAAGATGTGACGGTGTCTTCTCTTTAATTTAGCAAAATAAATACTTTTTTTTAAAAAAAATATAATTTAAGAAAATCAAAATATTTTATACATTAAAAAATAAAAAGGATATAATTTGGACATGTAACATTTGAATAATGTATGCAACTATTTTAAAGTTCATAGTTTTATGATAAATATAAATATATTTGCATATTTCCTCGTAGTTTTATTTTTTTTATTGATTATAATGCATGATATGCATAAAATATAGCTTAGAAACATGACAATTTTTTTAAAAAATATATAAGAATATAGCCAGTTCAATCTGGTTTCCAATTACCCAGTGTTGCCAATCTTTTTCTGATAATTTTGGACCGGTTAAATCCAATATTTACTGGACTATTTTTCTTAAGAAAAACCGCAATCAGTTTAATGAGTACTTGCATGAAAATCTTTCTTTTGATGATGACTTACTGGCTAAAACAATATGACGTTATTATTACGACTTTTACTAATAATACTGCCGACACTGCTCAAGTTCAGGTGTTACTCAAAATAAGAAAAGCATGTACGCATTGTAGTTATTACCCATAACATTTGTGAGATTCGCTAATATGGGACTCATAACAGAGCACACCTCTTGAGAGCCGATGTCTCTAGCAGCACCACTCTAAGGCAACTAGTCCATTACCCAGCAATTTCACTCTACAGCAGTACACTCAGTCTTCTTACCAATCAAAACCCTTCACAGGTAGCCCCTTTTGGTTGATCGACTCTCAATGAAAGCACCAATGTGATGGGCATAAGCCCAAAGAGAGAGTCCAATCCCAAAAGATTAACCTATTAGGAAAGAGAGCCCCTTGAATTTATAAACTGCACAACACTCATGAGATTCCCTAATGTGGGACTCATAACACTTACCACCTGCAATTTCTATATTTTCTTTTTTTTTTCTTTTTTGCTAAAGCATTAGTATCCTTCTATTGGAGACAATTCTATTTGAGGCACTGTCAATCACTAAATGTAGGCATCTCTTCTAGTAGGGATTTGAATCTTGGTTTGTCATGTTATGAGGTGCAATTTCTATATTTTCAATCCCTTCGGTTCAAATTTTGCATTAGAAGACCGAACTAATATACCCGAAATTAGGTTTATTTATTCCCTTGAGCCATGTGATTCACAAGAAATACATAGGACCAGAAGAGTAGTCTCATTCCCAGCATTTGTCCCTTTGGGAAAAAGTAAGATGGACTAAGTTCATGCATTTTTTTTATAAATGTTCTATTTTTAAAAAAGGAGGCCAAACACGTGGTTGTTGGTAGGATTTAATTTGATTCTGTGTAACCTTAAAAAGATTTTCACCAACATGATTCAAATCCATTGCTTTTCATCATTCACGCCATCCAAAAGATGATTTGGATTACGGAGGTTGTGAAAAATATCATTCACAAGATTATCATGAATTTCCCAATGTATTTCGTCGACAAAACTAACCCCTCTTTTCTTTGCTCTTAGTTGAATCAATGTTACGCTAACCTAGAGACCAAACGCACTTGCAAGTGTTCTCTGAAATTAAATATTGATATATAGGTATACAGATTAATCACTTTACTACTTGTTACGACGGAAACGCTTGTGATGAATGCTAGGCAGCAAATAATTCTCATAATTTCCAAACTTAAGCTTTCTTAAGGTGGTTGATTTGTGATGTTTCGCACCTTCAAACCCACTACTCTACCCAAACTACTCCCGAGAGTCCCACATTAACTCTCTAAGTTTTAGAAAATAAAATCTGGATTTCACAGTGCCTATGAGGAAAAAGGGAAGAAAATGGTATAGTGGAATGTGTAGGACTGGTTTTGATTTAACAACGGCATGAGTTTTGTAGGACTTAAGTAGGGGTTGTGGAAATGTTGAGCCTATTGTGGGATTTTATCAAGCATAAGGAATGTATCATGAACCCTTGTGTCATTATTTTTTTGCTTTTCGTTTTGAATTAGTTGAATTAGAGGGGCAAACATCAACGGTCTGAATTACAAGGAAAATAGAACCCACAACCTCCTACTCATGAAGAATCTTTCATGCTACTAGACTTGAATTGCTTTTCTGGGGGTGTTTATTGGATGTTTGAAGGAGTGGATTGGCGGTGGGTTATGAAGCTAAATTGGATTTAAACCGTTGAAACCTTGAAATTTTGACCCCCCCCAATGAAACCCTAAGTGTTGAAATTAGACTAATTGGATTGATGGGTGTCATGAGTCCCATATGGGGAGGACTACCTTGAAAGAGGAACGTTATAAAGCCTTGGGATTTCTACATGATAACAGTTAGCTTTTGGGATCGACATGGTTCTTTTAAGGACTTTGCTTGCTAATTGTAGGCTTGGGTATTAATAGATGTCAAGGCTAACTTGGAAATGATGTTTGAGCATCCATCGTTGTTATATGTTCTTGAAATTATAAGATATGAACCCATACACGGCCATGTTCTTGTGTTATTTCAGGATCTATTTTCCACTCTACACATACGGTGGCAATTTGCGTGCGTGCGTCACTAACAATACACAAAAATAGAATGGAGAATCAGCTTAATGTCTCAAGGAAGGAATGTAATAACTAAAAGCTTAGTAGCACACAATAATAAATTTCAATGCAAAAAATGATAACAGGTTTATGCTGTTTACTTGTCTTTGAGACTCTTTAGTGATTATATTTCTCTTTTCGAGAGCTCATAGTAATTCTCTCTGTAAAGAATAAAATTTAATTAGATGAGACATTATGGTTAGTAATTTAAAGCAGGGAGAATTGTTGTGAAGTTTATAAAGAAATATAATTATTAAAAAGTCTCAATAACAATAGAGTAGCATGTCATTACAAGTCATAGTATAGGAAATGACAACTACTCACTTATCATTTGAACTTTTTAACAACTATCTTCTTTTCTTGGGACTTCATAGTAATTCTTCCTTTAAAATAGTAAAGAAAAAAATTGGTTAGTAGGTATTAGCCTAATCCTTAATATAAGAGTTAATTGGCTAATTTTGAGTAGATTAAGAAAATTACTTAAGTTAGTTATTTGTAATAAATAGGTGTTGTCTTTCATAAAATACTCTTGCTAATTATATGTATTAGCTAGAACTACCATGTGATGAAATCTTTAATATGTACAACTATTACAAAGGCTATCTTTAAAAAAAAAACATACAAGTATAAAAGACAAAATAGATTAGAATTTTTTTATTTAAAACTAAATTGAATGTCAAATTAGCTGTTATATTAATGATGGGAGGTAGTATATTACTATATCCAGTCCTAACTATAAGACCTCATTTATAGACTAATTATAAGATCTCGTTTATAGTTTATAAATGAAGTTTTATAATTAGGACCGGTGGTAGTATCATACATTAAATACCTCCATCGAAAATACATTCATATATTAATTAATTATGCAAATTGGGATAGGTAGGAATTTAAAGAATGAACGGAAAAGGAAAAAGTGAAGAAATCTGTAATATATAAAAGAATCTCACGTGCCTTGTGATAGAAATCTAATTTGCACAATTAATTAGTCAGAATAAACACTGGGCGTCCATGTCATTTCATCACTACTTTTCATAGGAAGTTGTCTAATAAGCACGAAAATTTCCAAGATCATGATCTCCTTCCAGCTTTACTTTTCTCCATACAAATTGAAGAACCAGCGAGTTATTAATCCAGAGGATAACAGTAAATTTCATTGAAAACGTGCAAGTGGCAAATAAAATACTTTAATTAGATGAAAACTCAATTATTATTATTTTTTTCAAAAATAATAATTTCATAAAATCGTTTCATATTTAAACAGTTCGAGCATTAATTGATCGGATTCATATTAACTGTCATTTCAGAAATTTAATTATGATTTTTCAAAAATAATAATTATTTCTTGACTACACTGCACAAGAATAAACGTGTTAAACAGTGAGTTTCTGAATTTATTTGTGTGTCAATGTATATTCAATTTAGTTATAATTAGATGTGTAAGCACCAAAGAATTGACCATTAACCGTAGTATACCCATATATTTATTACTCTCTCCGTCCTATTTTATAAGCAATAACTTCCATCTCTCCCTTGTATCTAGATATAAGCAACATTTACAAGTTGTTTTAAATTTTTGTATCGAATCCCCTATTTTACTCTAATTAATTATTTATTTTAATATTCAATATGTTTATTATCTCATTTCCCAAACTATCATCTTTCCATCACACATTCTCTGGCTTCCATAATTCTCTTTATTATAATAATTTTCTTATTAACTCACTTATGCTCTCCCCCCAGAAATAAGGACATTTTAGTGAAAGAGCTTCTAATTTCTATATATTTATTATCTTTAACTAATTTTAATTAATATTTTAATCTACGTGATGAGTCACTTAGAAAAAAGGACGGAGGGAGTAGTATTTAAGATGTTTAATGACGAGACCCTTCGGAGAATTATTACAGTTGAGATTATCACTTTAACTTTTCGTCGCCTTTTAAGAATTGTGACGCATCACGTAGTAATTAAGCAAAATGCAAAACCTCAAAGGAAAAAATCCCACACACAGTAACGACAATTATCACAGTAAAAACGCTTAGAACATTGAATCAGAACCCAAATTATGAGTAGAAAATTCAACAACGTAAAAAGATCCTCTCCCATGGTCAGCCGAGGTATTTAAGCCATGCTTCATGTTTTTAAATTCTTATTTATTTATTTATTTATTTATTTATTTATTTATTGCTTATGTTTTTCGGATCTATAACAGACCCTGAAATGCTATATCATATATACATTTTTTTTAAAAAGCAAACGTAGTTTACTGCTTTTGGCAGGTTTTTCAGTTTATTTGTTTGAAATTCAAATTGTGATTTCCCTAGGTGGACCCGGAATTTGACAAGACAATGCAACTTTTATTTTTTTAAAAAAGATCAAGAATGCAATTTTAATTGATTAAAGCAAAAATAATAATTTATGAATGACCGGGAAAACATTCATGCTTCAAACTTTTTTCAGAAAAATACATTAGTATATACATATATTTTTTATGAAAAGCAAAAATTATATTAGTAATTAAACATAATTAATATCTTCACATAGGATATAAATGGCAAAGGAACTGTATATATATTAACTGTTCAATTATTATTCACATTTTTTATAATTATTTTTTTAGTAATTCTCCCTTTAGAATGGCAAAGAAAATGGTTTATAGGTATATTATTATACATCAGTTACCTCCGCTGAAAATACATTTATACATACATATATTTATTAATTATGCCAATTCAGGGAGGCAGGAGTTTTGAAGAACGAACGTAAAAAGAAAAAAAGGGAAGAAATATCATAATACTCCTCCGGTCCTTAATATAAGACCCTGTTTGACTTTTATTTTGATTCTAAATATAAGACCGCAATCCATTTTGTCTCTCATATTTATACATTTTGTTTTCAAAGTAGCCCTTCTAACAATGATAGTTCTAGTCAATACACTTGATTAGCAAGGATATTTTAGGAAAGACAACACTTATTTAGGACAAAAAACTAACTCAATTTACTTCCTTAATCTCTTCAAATTAGTCAACTGGCTCTTATAATTAGGACTGAAGGTAGTAGAACCTAATTCTTGAGTTGGTTTTGATCCTAAATATAAGACCCATTTCTCATATTTATCAGTTTTTTCTAAATTATCCCTATGGATACTCTATTAACCATAATCAAATAGAAGAAGGAGAGGGGTATTAAGAAAGATGTTTATGGTGTTTTAGGAAAAATGTGTCACTTTTCTTATAATTAACTAACTTAACTAACTTTCTTAATCTAATCAAATTAGTTAAATGGATCTTATATTAAGGACCGGAGGAGTATATAAGAAAATCTCATGTACCTGGTGATAGAAATCTAATTTGCACAATTAATTAAATAATTAGTCAGAAGACACGGCTTGTTCATGTCATTTCATCACTTCTTTTCATAAGAAGTTGTCGAAAATTTCCAAGATCATGATCTCCTCCCAAGTTTACTTTTCTTTATATAACATTCAACGAGTTATCCAGAAGATAACACGAAAGTTTTGTTAAAACGTGCAAGTTGCAAATAAAATACTTTAATTAGCAAGCTTAATTATTATTATTATTATTTTAAAAATGATAATTTTACGAAATCATTACATATTTAATCAATTCGAGCATTAATTAATTGATCCGCTTCATGTTAACTATCATCTCAGAAACTTAATTATGATTTTACAAAAATAATATTAGTAATTTTCATCCTTAAGTTTTTACCAAAATTCTGATTTTAGTCTCTCAAATTCTAAATTATAGGTTTGGTTATTTAAAAGACAAAATGATCAAGGTATTTATTAGATTATGTGAACCAAAGTTTTAAATGGAGAAAAACTTGAGGGAATAAAACTTATAATTTGAAACTTAAGTGACAAAAATCAAAATGAAGAAAAATTTGAAGGATTTAAAATTGTATTAATTCTAATAATTATCTCTTTACGACTGCACAAGAATAAACGTGTTAAACTCAGCTAAAAAAAAACGTGTTAAACGTGTCAATGTACGTTCAATTTGGTTTGACGTGTAAGCGCCAACGAATTGATGACCATTAAACGTAGTATGCCCATATTTAGTATTTACTTATTATTATTATTGTACTTATCCAGTTCTTAATCTAAGACCTATTTAACTAATTTGATTAGATTAAGAAAGTTAGGTAAGTTAGTTAATTATAAGAAATATGACATGTTTTTTCCTAAAACATCATAATCATCTTTCTTAATATCCTCCCTCCTTCTTCTACTTGATTATGGTTGAAGGAGTATTCATAGAGGTAATTTAGGAAAAATTGATAAATATGAGAAATAGATTTTATATTTAGGACCAAAATCAACTCAACAATTAGGTCCTATATTAAGCACCAAATGAGTATTTAAGATTTTCTATGAGAAGACTTCGAAGAATTATTACCGTTTAGATTATCACTTTAACTTTTTGTCGCCTTTTAAGAATTGTGACGCATCACGTATTAATTAGGCAAATGCAAAACATCAAAGGAACAAATCCCACACACAGTAACGACAATCATTACAGTAAAAACGCTTAGAGCATTGAATCAGAACCCAAATTATGAGTAGAAAATTCAACAACGTAAAAAGATCCTCTCCCATGGTCAGCCGAAGTATTTAAGTCATGCTTCATGTTTTTAAATTCATATTTATTTATTTATTTATTGCTTATGCTTTTCGGGTCTATCACAGACCCTGAAATGCTATATATATACACACACCACACACTTATTGGATTGCCCATTCGCACATAAACCAAGAAACATTTCTTAGAAAGGAAAGCAAAGAGAGAGTTTGAGTGTTTGGAAATGGAGAACTTCCCAGTCATCAACATGGAGAAGCTTAATGGTGAGGAGAGACAGGCTACGATGGAGAAAATTAATAATGCTTGTGAGAATTGGGGATTTTTTGAGGTATACATTTGTTTATGCATATTTACGGTTATTTATGTTAATTTTGGTGGCAATTATTAAATAAAACTGATTGTTTTTCTCTTGTAGTTGGTGAACCATGGGATAGCCCTTGAACTTTTGGACACAGTGGAAAGGTTAAATAAAGAGCATTATAGGAAATGCATGGAGAGAAGGTTTAAAGAGTTTGTAGCAAGCAAAGCCCTTGAGGGTGTTGAAGCTGAGGTTAAAGACATGGATTGGGAGAGTACCTTCTTCTTGCGTCACTTGCCTGACTCAAACTTGTTTGAAATCCCAGATCTTACTGAAGAATACAGGTCGAAAATCAAATTAAACGTGTTATACATATATTACTACATGCACATGCACATGTACATGTAATACTGAAATATATAAATTCAAAATGCAGGAAGGTAATGAAGGAATTTGCAGAACAAATACAGAAACTTGCAGAGGAGCTGCTGGATTTGCTTTGTGAAAATCTTGGGCTAGAGAAGGGGTACCTCAAGAAGGCTTTCCATGGATCAAGAGGACCAAATTTTGGTACAAAGGTTGCCAACTATCCTCCTTGCCCTAACCCTAATCTTGTGAAAGGTCTGCGCGCACATACCGATGCTGGCGGCATTATCCTTCTCTTCCAAGATGATAAGGTCAGTGGCCTCCAACTTCTCAAAGATGGCCAATGGATTAGTGTGCCTCCCATGCCTCACTCCATCGTCGTCAACCTTGGAGACCAAATTGAGGTAATATATCATATACTTTTTTTAGTCTTTACTATAAGAGTTAGATATCTAATTTGCAGATATTATAAAAATTAGTTAGATTAGTTATGTATAACAAATGTGTGTTGATTTTTTTTTTTATAATTATACTATTTCTAATCTTGTGCATTTTGGCTACCCATTAATAAAACCCACTTAATTATATGCAGTTACTAGAGATACTTTGGGAAAAAAAATATAAATTTAAGAAACAAAGTAAATTAAAGTCTAATATTTATATTTAGAGCTAGTAAAAACATATTGTCTAGTTTATATATTTAGGATCAGAGGTGATATAACATTCCAAGAAGCACAATTAATCGTATAATTAGTATCCTCTCCAACTATTGAGTCCTTGCAACTTAGGACTTCTATAGTTGCAGGTCCATGTGTCTGTCAAATGGGACCCATTCCCATGTTGTTTTAATTCTCCCGGCATAAACTATAATGTTAATTAGTTGTATCAAATTTGGGCAATGCAGTAACTAATTTCGATCCTTGAACAGGTAATGACAAATGGCAAGTACAAGAGTGTGGAGCATCGCGTGATTGCACAAACTGATGGTACTAGGATGTCTGTAGCTTCATTCTACAACCCAGGAAGTGATGCTGTTATATTTCCAGCACCATCATTGATGGAAGGAAAGGAAGAAGAAACGAAGGGCCACATTATTTATCCAAAATTTGTGTTTGAAGATTACATGAAGCTTTATGCTGCTCTCAAATTTCAAGCAAAAGAGCCAAGATTTGATGCCATGAAAGCTATGAATTCCAGTACCACTGCAACAGCTTAAGGAGGGAAATCGCTACTCGTTGATTTGGGAATAGAAAAATAATTAAGGAATAATATACACAAGAATAAAAGAAAAGGGTTAGAACCTAAACCTTTTACTTATACACATTCTTGCTATTGTGGGTGTGGATTTCTGATTACTTGCACTTGTATTAGTGATAAACTCAATCAATAGAAGTTGCAATCACTTCTTTTTTTGTTGGTCAAATTAAGAGCTCATCTAATGAATATAATCTCATAAGAATTTGAAGTTATGCTTCTAAAAGATAAACATGTTTTCCCTAAGATTGGGTTCATCTACAAATTCATCATATTTGACCATGTTAACTTGCAGCCTCTGTTCCAAGTAGCTTTCAAAAGGATTGTTTTTAAGTTTTTGTTCAAAGGTTGGCCACTTTCATGATATTTTATCCCAAACGAAGGAGAGGGACATCTATTTTTCACTTATTTTTATCGATTCAAAATGTAGGCAAAGTTGACGGGAGAAGTTTTCATCACTTAATGCTCTCTCCAGCGGATGACATCTTTATGGCAATGAGGATTGGGAGGCTTAATGTAATGGTCACCCTCACTAATACAATGAATAAAGAATGAAAATAGTAGAGATTAAGCAAATAAATGAAACTAATTGAAGTCCTCTATTGAAATTAATGAAACAAACGTCAAGCCACAAGTCTCAATCTTTTCAGTGACTTGGGCCTCTATAGTTTCTGGGCCCATTCCTTTCCCAACCCATATTTTCTATGGGCCAATGATAAAATTTGGGACCATTTATCAAACCAAAAAGACGTTATTTTGCTTCGACATTCTCCATGAAATCCTCCCAAATTCTGCAAATCTTCCAAGTATTTGAAGAAGTGCTAGAACTACAAAACATATAGTAGGTTTGAGGCAGTTTTAAAACTTCACAATACATACATACATACATACACACACACACACATATACATATACATATACATACACATATACATATACATATACATAGAGACACACACACACACACAGGTTTAACGGTTTATGAGCAGAGATACATTTCATAAAAGCCACCTGAACCAAAAACTCAAGGACTTGACCAAAACGAAAGAACGTGAAGCGAGTGGATAGGCAAATAGATTTCAATGCCATTTGGTTCTAATAAAGAAAATAATGTCAGAAATTGTTTAGAAAACTTTGGCCAAAACAAAAAACAGAAAAATAGTCAATTCGATTCTTTTGTTATTTATTCATATTCATTATGTTTTCATTTTGTATGGTTGATTATTCTCTTACCATTCTTCAAGTTGACTACTCTTTTCCTTCCAAGTTGCCTTCATTATTGGCATAATTAAGATAAGTCCACATCTTATTTGTTGGGGTGCCCACTCTCTCAATTAGGTCTAGTCTTTCTTGTTTCTTTGTTTGTTTTTGCGGTACCTATTTCAGGTCATGTACTATTAAATGCTTGGTTCAGTGAGTCTCCGGTCAATATATGAAGTTTCAATTTTACGATGAAAAGGAGGGTAAATGTGTAATTTTATCCCTGTTCTCATATGCATTGCTACTCATAATATTATTTCTCAGGTGAAATTTGACTCTTGATCCTTTTTTAGTGTAGTTTTATCTCTGATTTTTTATGCAATTTTACCCTATCCTTGTTGAACACAAAAAAAAAATATGGATAAAATTGCAGTACTAACAAATAAGATTATGAGTAAAATTGTACTTTTATTAAGAAAATAAACATCCTATTGCAAACTATTTTTCCGACCTATGAGAGTGTGGGAGGAGACTCTGTATGGAGATCCATTAAACGCTTTGGATGGCTTGTTGGATTTTAGGACATTGAAGAGCAAACTATTGGTCGCGTTAGATCTACTTAAAAAATAACTGAATTAATGCAATACAGTACATGATCCAAGTCGTATTCATTTTAGGGAGCCTCTCAAACAATCCTAAGTAACTAAGTATACAAAAGATAAAAAATTAACTTGGAAAGGAATTGATTTTCTTTTTAACTAACTACTTGGCAAAATTTAAAAGAATGCAAAATGAATGAGTAAGTAATTTTTGGATTTTTAGTTTATAAAATGGAAATAGATGAAATAAACGAAGAGAATTAACAAGTGATAACAAATAGAATAGCAATCCTCTAGCACAATGATTTAGGCTATCATTACTTCAGTTAATTTAAGAGTTAGCTAAATTCAAAAAACTCCAAGAGCCACCCCTTAGACTCAGTTTAATTAGAATAATTAACACCAAGCCACCTTACATATTAATTACTCACAATTAAACTGTTTTAGCGCAATGAGCTAAAGAGAATCAAAGAAATGTACTCACTCATAATCCAATAACCAAGCTACATTGAATTACTTCAAAATATTCTTAATAATCTCAATAGATTAACTGCCTCCTGAAAATGCAATTGGAATTAAAGATACTAAAAGCCCAAGGTTAGAATATAATTCAAAAAAGCAATATCCAAATTTCAACATGTAGATCATTATAGCACATCCAAACATTAATAAACTCTTTCTAAGATCTAGGAATCATTAATACAATGACGATGAATAAAAAATGGAAAAGCTGAAACTCCCCTTTCAACCTTCAAGTTCAAGCAGAGGATCGTGAAATTCAGCCACACCTCTGCATTATCGAAGCTCCACCGTATACTTCAACAACCAATGCCATAACAGAAAACGCAGCTGAAGGTGGATGAATGATGAAGGATAGGGTTTCGGTTGATGAGAAAATCGGACAGTAGGAAGGCGTGTCGAAACCAATGGATTGAAGGTTTGGGTTAATGGAATGGAATGGTTAGGCCGACGTTGAGTGGGGGAGGAATATGGAAGATGAGGAATCGGTGGAGATTGAGATATGGAGGTGTGATTTTGCCGACTGCTCTGCTTCTGTCGCAACGCCTCTGGTCCCTCACTGCCTCTCACGCTGTCGCACTCCTCTGCCACCAGGAAGATTCAGCGGAGATGAAGATTGGCGGTGAACAGAGGGGATGGGTCAATGCTATGCTTCCACCGTCGAGCTCCTCTGGTCTGCTACGCCGTTGGAATCCTCTGGTCCTTCTTTCGCTCACGCAGTCCTCTGGTCCTTTCGTTCTGTTCCTCCCGGATACCTCCGCGAAGATGATGATGATATGAATTTAGGGCGGACAGTAAGACGCACCGTTTTACTACCTGGCCCTCTCTTATTTCATTTTTTTAAAAAAAATATTTCTTTCCTTTTTCTTTTTTTCCTTTTCTTTTCTTTTTATTTTTTATTTTTAAGTCTTCCAAAAACCTACAATTAAAAATCAAAAGAAAGGTAGCATTAATTGTCCTTAAAGATCAATTAATCACAATTATGGCAAATTTGCCCCTTATTATGCACTAATTCAAGATAAAGCACTGTAATATGAATTATACTCAAATAATACAATTAAGGACCAATAATAATGACAAAAATCCACTAAAAAGATATGAAAATGCATGTAAAACAAAGATTTGTCAGATCACTCTATGGAATACCTCCTGGTATGCTATCATTAATTAAATTAATCATTAGGATGATATATATATATATATATATATAATTTCATTTGAAGTTGCTCCCTTGATTAAAAAAAAAAAAACCCTTTGAATATATGCAAAATAGGGAGAGTTAGGAAAAAAAATTGTAAATTTAGAAAACATAGTGGATGGAATGAGGATAAAAACAAACTCTATTAACTCTTATATTTGTGATCAGGGGAAGTATTATATTTTGTGTAGTACTTTGCAAAACTTGGTGGTGTAAATAGTTTTTGTCTTCTATTTTTCATAATTAGAAACAGTTTATGTATATGTTCATACAATTTGTAATGGATGATGTCCCTTCGAATTCTATTCACAGTTAGAAAATGTAATTAAAAGAAATCTATCGTGCTTCATAATGCTTTTGTTTAATCTAAAGCAAAAGCATCTTTGGAAGGCATGGTATAGGTCAAGCGCAGCATCAATTTGTTTTAATCTTGAGATTTTCGTACAAATATTTTTATTCACATCAACTTCATTCTGTGGATCGATTTAGTAGATTTTATAGGACCCATACTTGTATTTTATATAATCCTATGATGTTTAATTTTAAACAAATTATTTTGGTAATTTTTGGAATCTATAAAAATAAGATGGTGTGCACTATCAAGTGGAGAAGACTTTTATTTTTTTAAGAAAAATAATTTGCAAATAAAGAATGTTACTATCATCACATAATTTTTTCCATCTTCTGGACAAAGACAGGAAGGAAAGTAGAAAGTTCAAAATATTTAACGACGGGAAATTCAGCATATTAATTAACGAGTCTTCGGAAAGAAAAGTCATGGAACGTGACGTATATAGGAGTATTTGCTCAGATAGAGGAAGCAATTAATAATGCGTAAAATTCCAGCTGTATTTTCAATGACGTGTGGAATTGATATCTTAACGATTGGAGGATAAAATTCTCCATAAATTATCAATTAAATTAAAAAAAAAACAGATAATTGAGACAAGTCAAAGGATAACGTTGACCAACAAAAAGAAGGCAAAAGTGTACTTTTAACCTTCAAATTTTATACGAAGTGTCGTTTTGATCCTTCAGCTAGTTTTACAGAGCTCTTCGTCAATCCTCAAACCCAACATCATTTATCTCAAATGATATTTTTCCCAATCATTGTTATTTTAAAATTCTGAACTTACCTTTATTTTTTGTCACTCTGGGGTATAAAACACACAATTTCCTTACTGAGAGAAGGAGTGGAAGTGCCATTGAAACAAGAGATTCTAAGCTTCGGCAGTTTTTTTGCTAATAAGACCAATAACATTAGGGTTAGAGAAGTAAAAAATTACTTGATAAAAATAAGGAGCTAAAATTAAAGGCTAAAAGGAGCACTTTTGATTTTTTTAAAAAAATAATGTAAGCAGATGAATAGAAAACTTTGTACTTAAAGGTAAGTTGGTAATTGTTAGCTTTAAATGTTTTGATGATAACAAATTAAGTTTTAAGTTT